GAAGAAATAATCAAGACCTTTCGCACTGTCAACGATGAAAATCCAGTTGAGAATAGTACGATAACGGAATCTGAGCTTAGTGCACAGAAGAAACGAGTAAGTTATATATCTGCAACTGGTTAAGGATGAAAGTTTCCGCGCTTTGCACAATGCTAGTGACCTCATAATTGGCCTTCGACTTGTATATTTGCATGATTGCCACTACTAAGGAAAGAGACAGGTGACTACACGCCGCAGTTGAGTGCCATACAGATGCAAAATACTGCCTTTAAAGTACGCATTAGCCCGGATAAACCAGCTCAGTGATGAGGTTCGTCGTAGAATGGCAAGCGAGACCTGGATCCCAACCGTTGCAAAATTTCGTATTTTGTTTCCATCGCAAAGCTAATCCGGTGTCTTCGTCTCATTTTATCGCCAGAGATATCTGTAATTAGCTCTGGTAAGAATCGAAGTTTGGGTTCGCTTTCTGTTCTTGTTTCGTTGCCACAGAGTAAAGTGATTATGCTGCACTACTGGAGCATCTTTAGTAACTACTGCGTTCTTGGGCTGTTTTAATCTACCTTGTATTGACACACCCTTTTGACGCAAGCAGAAGGTGGACCTCTTATACATTAGTGTTGTGGAGGCATCAGGTTCACTGCCTCTCCTGTTTAGAACGGCCAGCGACTCCTTTATGTTCATAATCTTCGCGTTGGTCTTCACTTTCTAGCGCCATGCTACCACATCCCCTCCAGCTGCCGTTAGGCGTGAAGCAAGTTCTTTCAGAGACGTTTTTCAGTTTCCCTCAATTCCACAACAGGTTGCACGGCCCTTGGTATCCTAAGCTGCAACGTCATCGTTATAACGCGTTATGGTCTCTGTCATGAGCAGTGGATGATTAAGTTTCACAATATGCGTCGCCACCGTCCCCAGCAATGCATGTTTCTCATTCGAGCTTGGAACCGACAGCGGTGGATTTGAAAGTGAACTCACAAATGAAAATAAAATTGGCTAACATCTTCACAATTAATACGTGCATTGATGTTGCCTTCGTCGTTTCAACGTGCTTGTTCTTCTAGACATGGCGGTACTTGAGACTTCGAGAGTTCATGATGGAATCATCGAAAAATTCGTCCCTTATTGTCATGTAAGTCTCACAGTGTTTTCAGTTTTCGTGGCAAAATTACGTTAACTATTTGTATCGATTGACTACACTGTTAGTATAAACCAAAATGTATCAAAAGGGTTTATTTATTGACAACACAAGTAAATAAATTGTGATTGACCAGTATCGACGTTTCTGATCGTCTGTAATAGGCCTTCTTTAGCATGGTCCGGATTGATTTTCACACTTGTTTCTGTGCTCCTCAGCTGTGTGATGTTTGCAATCAAAGTTTTATTTATTACTTTCGTTAGTTTGACTCGAGCTAATGCTAGTTTAATACTGCTTGACTTTCTGAAATACTAAATGCAAAGTTAAGGTGAGATAAAGTGGATGGTCCATTTGGTAATTACATATGGTCCATTCTCCGCGTTCGATTTTGTGTAATTACTTAATTAACTGAAAGTACGTCTCACCCGAGAAAACTTTTAGAACAAGAGTCGACGTTTCTGACGTTTCCACAGCATGTAGATTGAGTAACAGTAAATCTTTCTTAAATACTAATATGTCTTGTGCATCATTACTAGCGTTAGATTCTGTACAGAACGTTGATATCAATATTACTAGAACTTAAGAGCAGATAAAGGCTAGAACAAATTTTCTTCGTTGCTGTTTTATGCAGTATTCCATTGGTGGCTGAAACTTTGCATGCCGAAATGCAAATCTGCCGGTCTTCGTTCCAAGCGCAATGTATATGCAGTCAGGGACGTCCTGGTCAGCTGGGTAATATGTGACAGACTTCATCCTTCCTGAAATGTATAAGTTGATGCAAAACTGCTACTCTACATCATGTTCAGGCCCTCATGCAAGTGACGCAGGCCATTTTATCTTCTTTTCATTCCGCCACATCATCCGTCAATAATCGTCCAGCTTTTCTAATTGTCTTGTTCAAGTAGTCAATAGTCTCCATTCAGATGATAGAGTGTAAGGTAACTTTTAGCACCTTTTTGGATTGATATAAATTATACAGAACTGTACGGCCTCCTACGTCTAGGCTTGTACCTGAAGTGTTTTTTTTGCTTTGAGAAAACTGTTTCAGAAGGGATAAGCAGCTTTATCGATCCTCGTTAGCCGCTGGTGTCAAGGGTTCTCAAAACTGAAACTGTAGAGAAAATTCATTGGTGATGGCGCCATAGTAGGAGGCGAGTCCTTAAAATGTGACAACTAAGTGATCTGCTAAATGTGCTTATGAGTAATTCGCGGAAGCAAGCGAAGGGGCTAATTTTAGTAATGTTTTTTAGACTCTCGTGTAAGTGTAGAGTCAGATTTAGTATTATCTTCAGGCTTTCCACATGTCAAGTCAGAGTCATTGAAACGCCATACCTCTGCTGAACGTTGGGTTGCAGCACCCCGTTCTTTGTTTCCTTGATTAACGCGAACTTAAATTTCTTGGCAACTTAGTGAGACATGGTAGCAAAGTTATCGTAACACGCAACATGTTTTCATTCACTCTGGAGTCCCCCCGTCGCTGTCATTTCCCAGATGATGAAGACTGGTGCCCAGTCGGTCGAAATGTTGGAATTCTTGTAAATTAAACTACTTTTTTTCGTTTTTTGTGCTGCGATCCATGAGATCAGAAGACTTATCACCTTCAATAAGGGTTTGTATTGAGGAAAATGTTCTCTCAGCACCGAATTGTCAGCAACGGTAAAAGACTTTTGTTCAGCTGGACCAAATATTCTTCTCCATATTCTTTTGCTGCCTCAGGATTGTTAGCATGACTAAAGATTTATTAAAAATTCAATTAAGTTACAATCGTTTATTAGTATATCTCCATTTTGCTCCTATACTCTGTGATTTCGCATGATTCTGTTGCTGCTAGGTACCTAAGTTCATTTGATCACTCCGCAGCTTAATGTTAGTTTAATTATTTGCAGTGCATCGACGCCTCTCTGACCGTTTTCACAGTTTAGGACAATATCTTGTTCGTTATTTATGATACCACAGGAAGTAGTACTCTTTATTCCAAGCTCATTTAAAAATGCAATGAAACGAACAGGATAGAATCCAGTTTATATGTGAAATATGATTATAAACGTTTATACCTCTGATTTAACAGTTTGACGTGTATAGTGCTTGTCATGCTCTGTATACCGTCAGCTTGATGTTGTACAATGTCAGTGTTGTGATTTTCTATTAAGGTGTTTGTATTTATTCTGTACATGCATTCATATGAGAAATCAGAAACTTCTGCGTTGGATAAGCAAAGACTTTTATTCTTATGCTGACTACTGACTTCATTGCTACTTTGTTTTGCTTGCCTTAATGTTTGTATTCTGTGTTATTGGCGTACTGATGTTTTTTTTATCGTTTTACTGAGAAAACGTGTTTTTTTCAGTACTATGCCCGTGCCGCGTCGTGGAATATGTTGCGACTCCTTGTACATGGTCTGGCTAGATCTACTTTCGAACGATTTGCCACCGGTGCTTCTTGTACGTGGAAATCAGCAATCCGTTCTTACGTTTTACACCTAGCTGGGTACTTCGATGTTTTATTTGTGCAAAATAAAATTCACGTGTTTAACGATGATTAATGGGACATCTTTGTCTATGTGCTTTTGTACTGAACTTCTGCTCAGTAGTACAGCTTTTTATCGTTAGATCGAAGATCTCGTTCAGTAGATCGGATACTCAACTCGCTGGATTATGAGAACCAACTTTATTTAGATATAGAAGTTTATCTTCTTAAGAAAATTGGTTTGCTATCAATACACAGCAGTGTCTTAGAATGTATTACACAGCATATGTACAGAAGTTTTCAGCACTTCAAACGTTGTGACAAGGCTTCTTTCAATCATACGTTATTCCTCATCCGGATTCTTAGCCTCCTGGTCAAGAAGTGTAATATTGACATACTATAGGCTTCAATTCGCGTGAAAGAGTGCTATCTTTGTTTCTGGTATTTGAATGTAGAAATGTGGTTCGTTGGAATTTCATGTATAAGGGGTGACTATCGTTTCGATGTGCAGATTATAGCTGACCCTATCGGGTCAGTGATATCTGTCACGTCGATCTAGTTGAAACGTTTAATGAGTTGAACCGCTCAGCGCAGTGTGAGGAATTGCTTTCCTTGTCACTGAGTTTACAGGAGTATCAAGTATCAGCAAACTGAGAGAGGCTACCTTTTTCGGCAGTTAATGTCAGTAACCTTGGACGATAAATTTCAGTGTTATTAGATTCTTAAATGTATATACGATTAAACACTATGTCATAAGGACGACTGATCAGTTTGACAACCTGTCGCAACCAAACATATTTGATCAGGTAATAAAAGTGATTAAGTTAACCTACTTTTGGATCGCGGTTTCGTTCTGTGCAGCGACAGTACTAACCGATTATAGTTAAGTAGGAGGGTTACGGTTGTTTCCAACATTTGTTTTTTAATAGCCTTAAGCTTGCATCACCTTGTCGACTACGCATATTTTACCTTTGTTTATTTCAGTCTGACCCACAAATTTTAGGGTTCATTGAGTTGTAGGCGCATTGAACGGTATGTTTTACGTTGCCTCCACACAATAATCGAACCAACAATTAGAACTGCCAAAATGTGCAATGGAATCCCTGCAGCCGCTTGCTTTTCCCTCTCAAGACAGAAATAAATTTGGATCAGACCATTAATCTGAGTGCTCTTTTTGACCCTGATATCAATAATGACGATAACAACAACAGTAAGACAGAAAACGAGAAACTACTACTATGACATTGTTCCTTTTCACTTGTCAACAGATCGCTGAATGGGTTTTATCAACCAAATACACCCGGGGTTGTAGTTTTCGAGAGTCAATACGCCTAATAGCCACCAATACCATTGGAGAGGTGCAAAAACGATCTGTCATTTACGAAGAATCGCAAGAGGCCAGAAAATGAGATTTAAGTGAAGTTTATGGCGCCACCCACTTTCAGGATAAGAACTATTGGTTAAGCGGTCTACTTAGCTGATTCTCAAGACTAAACTTGGATGGTGCACGAAAGCCTCTTCGTCAGGCGAAGTGCTTAATTGTCAAGTCATTACATTTATGACATGAAGCATATCGAAATTTAGGCGGTGGAAGCCTCAAGCACAATCGCAAGATTAAGTACGAATTGTTGGATGGTGTGTGAGGGAGAACAAAGGCGAAGACAAAGGTTGTTAATAACCGGAAGTTTTCATTTCGACACTATTTAGCAGCAATTCCTTTCATGAGTATCGTTCCGTTTTAGCCGACGCCATTTCACCAATGGATACTTGTTTCCCTCCCCCTCCCCCACCAGGGCACATTGCCTTTCGTAGATTGATGTGACGCGTTTGACAGATTGCTAGGCGTTGTCATTTAACATGACCTGTTCTATATGACGTGCTAAAAGCGTCAGCGCCGACAACTGACACAGTTTATGACTTCTAATAGCGTTATGAAAGCGGCGATTGCTGCTTCTTGCCGCCTTTGTCAGACGTTGTTCCATACCTAGCCTTCAGTTGACGGACAGCAACCACCACAATGGGTCCAGTCATGTACGTGTGTGCCACGCTGTCCCTTCTTTGGACGTGCACCGCGTCGCCTGCCCGAAAATCATACCACGTCGGTCTGTTCTGCAGCACCGGTGCTTACAGCCATGACATTATGATGCGTCGCCTAGCAGAACAGCTGGCGGCCAGTGGTCACCTGGTGACCCTGCTGCAGATTCGGGTGTTTTCCTTTAACTACTCAATTCCGCCCATCGAATCTGAACGTGTAACGATTGTGCAGATGAACTGCAGTAATTCATGGACGCGCGACCTTATGGGTCAGCTACAGAACCAGATATGGTACAGCACAGTGCCGTTCGGCAACCGAAGGCTTAGCTACCGCAGTATTCGACTGTTTTCTCAACTCTACGATGCCCATATGTTCGGTTGCAGGGCCGCGTTGCAGGATAAGACGTTTGTACGGCGGGTTCTAAACTTGAACCTGGACCTCATCGTCATCGACTACATCCTGAACGAGTGCGCCCTGGCATTTGCCGCACTGAGCAACACTCCTCGCATGTACCTGTCCAATTATCCGATGATGGAGTCGTATTTCGATTCGACGGGGGCCACATCAAACCCGGCTTATGTCCCGTCAGTGCTGTCCAAGGAGACGATCCCGATGCGGTTCTCCAGTCGAGTGTCGAACTCCATCTGTCGACTGCTCGCCCTGGTGTGGCGCCAGAAGCTCATGCATTCAATCTCCAAATTAATTTACAGCTTCGGCTACAACAGTTTGGACTTGCGCGACGAAGAGATGAAAACGCTGTTGTTCGCCACCCCGTCCGAGTTCCTCTTGGACGCCTCTCGGCCACTGACACATAACATCAAGTACCTCGGATGCTGCAAGTGTCTTAGCCAAGAGAGTAAGACCTTCAACAAGGTAAGATTGGAATCGAAATGGATTTGATTTTCTAGGAGGTTTAATGACGTGAAGGTACTCTCTGTCTCTCATACAACTACTTTCGTACAGCGTCATAGTCAATCAATCAGATCAAGTCGTTTCGTGCGTAAATTAGCGAGAGCAGTGATTGACATCTCATTGACTGCTCCATGACCTATTAATTTGGATACAAGGTATATTACAAAACAACCACAAGTTAAAATGAGCAGTGGTACGCCAAAAAGAAAGAATGAAGACATATGAACGGGAGTAGCAAATAGCAATTTACCGTATTAATGAGTGATATTCAAAGGAATACGTCAGCAGGATCAATTCAAACAGGGCAGGTTCACTTTTTCCTGTTCTTCTTCCTAGAGTTCTCGAGCCATCCGTGGTACCACAGATTTTCTGTGTCGGCATATTGACGAAACCATCATCAGCAACATTCTTGAATGAGTTTCTTACAATGAATCGATAGGCTAGCAACGATCAAGACGGAGAGAGTGCGCCAGAACCAAGCGCGGTAGGGCATTTTTTCTTAACCTGTGGGCCTACCATGGCTGACGAAACAGTAGCACTGACGTGTTTTTAGACCGACTATGGGAAGAACGCTATGTAAAGAAAATCTTATGGAAGGACGGAGGAGCACCGTCCGTAAACTTCTGATAACTCAGGTTTAAATATTTAATTATCCGTCAGACTTTAAGCGGATGACGATGACCCGTAAGCATGGTGGAAGGAGGATTCAGATTACATCCGGTGCATTGTACCAAAAAAATGGCGAGAAAATAACCTCACATCTTATCTCCTTAATGTCTGACGTCTTGGAAGTTTGATGTAACGCCGTCCACGCTTTCATGTCATCTTTTCATCCTTCAAGGAAAAAGCATGAAACCTGTTTCAGTCATTCATGTGATGAATCGAAAGTTTAAAGTCGATAGTTTATGGAAAAAAAGGTTTCCTTGACGACCTGTTCAATCCAATGTCTGTGCCGAATTTTGGAAGGTCATCTCAAAATTGAGAAATGACGATCCGGCTCTGATGTTTGGTGCACTTCTTCTATGATTTTCCTTCTTTTCGTTTTCTGTCGACAAGGCTGCTTTTCCAAAATACACGAGACGTGACTATTAAGTACTGAGGTTTGATGTGCGTTGCACGTGTAAATCACTAGTTGCTGCATGTTCTGCAGACCTGGTGAAGTCGCTCTACAGCATGCCAGTTAAATTCTCCATTCCTTTCTACGACATGCTCATAACCATCCAATACTGAGTAGAAAGATGATGCCATATGATAATATGCCATAAGATAATACTATTTCTCTCTGTTTGTCTCCATATGCTAATGGAGACAAACAGAGAGAAATAGTATTTCGTTGAACGAGTGGCAGTGAGATGAACATTTAGCGATTTCAGTAGCGTAATGGACTATCCCCTCGATTATCTCTCTACTCAGATGTAGAGGATTGAGACTTACGTCCTTTTCGAGCCTCTCAATCGTAGGTGAAAACTCATGGGTTAAACCGAAAGAAGTTCCAAATGATATCAGGTAGGTGGAAACAGGAAATGGAAGAAAAATAACAAAAATTTGATGCCCCTAGAATTGCTACAGTCAATGAAATATGACCAAAGGCGTGTCATTCAAATATACATACCGTAGGTCTTCTGAAAAGTCATAAATACCCTGCTATCCTGTAATCAGAGCGAAAACAACTTGATGTGGCTCATTTTATTTAACTGTGTGTTTTGACAATAGGATAATAATCGACATTTTTTAAAGAGCTTCGAACCGGATTTCAACACTAAGCAATATACGAAATGTTAATGATAATAGAACTTATCTTAGTACATGGTCGCCATTCGTTGTTGGTTATCTGCAGTGAGTATTGGAAAGTTGAATTTCCGAGTATTTAAATGAACTTGTCGTTAAAAGATACTTGCGTTTAAAGTAGCAGTTTCTCAAAAATATAAAATAATTCTCAACTGTAATAGTAACAAAAATATATGTTCCCTGTAGCCAAAATCTTAAAAGAGTTTGCTTAGTATACAAATTTTATTCAACAAAATCTTCGCGTTTCGGATCGAGCTGGGTTAATCTTCAAAGAACATTATGTAACAGCGGGGTCAGCAACAAAGTCATTGTTTTCTGAGCTTGTTGCATGAAGCAAAAATTGAAGTCGATAAATACAATAAACCAAGAGGTCATCATGCGAT